CTCTCTCTCTCTCTCTCTCTCTCTCTCTCTCTCTCTCTCTCTCTCTCTCTCTCTCTCTCTCTCTCTCTCTGCGTCATTATCGTCTGCTGTTTTCCCTTCCTTTGGAGACATGACCCCCATCCATCTCGCCATGGTTCTTGTGGCCGTCATTTGATGGCTGCGAATGAGGGACAACTTGTGCGTTATGTCCGCTATGATGTTCATGCACGCTGTGACGAACATGGTTGCCTTGCACAGTGCGACGCCAATGGTGTTGGTCCTGGCGTACCACTTGTACAAAAATGATGGTGGGGGCGGTGCTTTCAATCCGTTGGGACGGATCCTACCAAAAAGACGGGTTTGGGTTCGACAAAGAGTGGGCAGGACGTGGGAGGAGCTTAATATGGAAGGAGTGGGACATGAGAAGAAATTTCGGGAGTACACACGTCTAACGAAGCCCGTATTCAACGAAATTTTGCAGCGGATCGCGCCAAGAATGCAAAGGATGGACACTCAGTATCGACTGGTGTTGCCAGCATCTTTGAAGTTTGCATTCGCACTATACCGATGGGCGACCGGAGGCTATTACCGACAGTGTGGTAACGACTTCGGGTTGGGATGGCACAGCGCCATCAGATGCAGGGACGACGTCGCAAGAGCTATTTGTGCCGAGTATGGGCATATGCTGTCTTGGTCGTCCGGGGCTCGCCTGCAAGGTACATTGGATTACTATGAGGGGAAAGGATTCCCTGGTTGTTCGGTGTGATTGACTGTCCACATATCCATATCGACAAACCACGTGGCGCCGAGGCTGAGCTGTACTTCGACAGGAATAGGCAGTACTCCCTAGTTGTGCAAGTCATGTGCGATGAGAACCTGCGCATTTTAAACGTCTCCGTCGGTGCACCTGGCTCGGTGCACGATTCACGTGTCCGACGGCTGTCCGGCATGTACAACCGTGGGGAGGAGGGGAGGTAGCCTTTCATTCGGAGGACGAACGTGCTCATGGTCGGTGTGGTGATGGGACGATATCTGATGGGTGACGCAGGGTATCCTATCCTTCCATGACTGATGATTCCGTTCGGAGGACCTGACCGAACTGCAGAGGAAACAGCGTTTGACAACAAGTTCTCCGCCCTCCGCAGTGCTATCGAAAGGTGCTTTGGTCGGTTGAAAGGAATGTGGCGTGGCTTTGGCCGGAAACAGATCGCTAATATGCAGAACGTATATTACCAGTTCTTCGCTTGTTGCATTCTGCACAACATTATCATCGATGCTGGCATCCCCGTCGACGCAGACTTGCTACGCAGGGCAGGGAGGGGAGATGACGACGAGGGCGACGACGATGGCCACGCAGGCGATGATGTTGACGAAGAGGAAGATGATGCGGAGGCTGTGCTACGAAGAGAAGGGTTCTTGTTGTTCACTAGCCATCGCATTCACTGAGATGCCGCAATTGCGCTGCTTTCCTTTGTTGTTCGCCATGCTCTCCATGTCTCGAGGGTTTTCCGTGTCGACGGTGGTGCGCAGCACTAGTAGGGGTTTCCCGGGGTTGTGCATGAAGGGAAAGGTTCAATGATGAGAGAGAGAGAGAGAGAGAGAGAGAGAGAGAGAGAGAGAGAGAGAGAGAGAGAGAGAGAGAGAGAGAGAGAGAGAGAGAGATGGACTATGGTGAAATGTGCTTGCAATTGTGGAGTGCAGTCTGCCAGACTCTGCTTGTCCATGGTTTATGTGCACACTGCATTTTTTGTGCGTCGTTCGTGGACTTTGGTCTGCCTGTTTTCAGTCTCATGGGAAAGATTCAATGATGAAATATCAGGGAAAACAGACTTCGGATGTTGTGGTCCTCCCRTGGTGACGATTTCCGCATATGTGACAATTGTAGCATGCTGCTTTTTTTTTTTCAGTACATGTGTTGTATTGATTTATTGTCTTTTCCAGTCGCACCAGGGAGTGGCCTTGATGCAGTTCACCAACGAGTTTGCACAACAACAGCAGCATTACATTGGATCCCACAACTGCTTATTCCATTTTGACAACCATAGCCGTGTACAATGACAATCATAACCCTGTACTGTGTCACACGTTGACGTCATCATATTCCATTTTTCGATTATGGGTGGATGGGTGGAGGAAGACAATAACATTGTGATCGGTGATTCGACACATGTATTCCAAACACATATGAACACATAGCAATGCAACACACAATTCAACCGAAGAAGCGAATGTGAAACACGAAACCTGCCAATGGACCACATTTAAAAATGCAATATAACCATGGAATCTTCCATGGTGATTCGAACATCAGCCATCGGTCGTTTCATCAGTTCGAGGAGACACGAAAACAACAAATCGAAAACATCATACTGAATAAAAATACTTGGCCGCTTCCAGTACGTACCCATCAAAACTGCACGGGTGCTACTGCTACCTGCTGATCGACACACCTACATTGAAACCAAAATTGGCCAGGCACAGGTGGGCATCCCCACCAAACCGCCACACTATTTTTAATTCAGTGTACAAAACAGTCGAAACTGAATTAAAAAAAAATAATTCCGTCGGATAGCAACCTCAAACCACTACCCCGAACACAGCATTACCGGAGGTCGTTCACGGAATCACCCTCCATACACATGGCTCTCCTGAGTCTCCTCAACTGATCAGCGACCGTCGTGACGTCACGGCGGTTGGTGTCCTGCGACCTGTTGTCAGCAGACACCCGCCCTTGCGGAGGTGTGCGTTGAGCGGAGTCACGTTGCATGTGACCCACCGAAACTGTGACGTTGGCAACAGTTCCTCCTCGCCTGCAGCCGGGGCTCTGCACAGTTGTGACAAAATTGTCAGGCTCTCCGGGGTTATGCTCAGAACCCCCTTCATAAAGCGCTAATTGCTGCTGCAGGCGCAGCACTTCCTGCCTCAGGACAACAGCAGATCGCTCCGCAGCTTCGGCCCTTGACACGGTCACACCTTCTCTCATGTTTGCCTTCTCTAGTTCGCCCTGTAGACGCTGCAGCTCGTCCACCATACTCGACACGCACGTGAACAACACACCTCACTTCCGTGCAAGCTCATGCGCTTGTTGGATGAGGCGCCTGTGGGTGAGCATGAAATCGCCCGCCATGTCTACAACCTCGCCAACACTGCACAGCGGAGAAGATGACATGTCGCCACGACGCGTGCACGCTCCCTTTCGGGAATCCTGAAACAAAGCAGTCAGGAAAGTGACACGCAGATGGACAGGCGTCAGATCGAACTTCCGCACACGCGAACCCGTGTGGTTGGCCCCTGGAGGAACGAATGCAGGGCGTCCCGCCATCGCACCAAAAAGCATCGTGAAGCATTGCAACAGCGTGCTGTTACCTTCTTCCATGGTCTTGTTCATCCCATTCATGACCTGTACTAAACTCCCCGCGATCTTGTCAGCATGACGGTCATTCGCTTCGACAAGAGCACGTGCTATGTCAGCGAACAAACCTCCCCTCGAAGCGTCACTTGAACTCTCTGGCGCCGATCGCCGGTTGTGGCTGCTCCCTCCCCCAGTCCTCCTAAACTTCGCCCCGTCAGCGCTGTCGCTGTCTGCTTTTCGCCGACTCCCTTCACTCTCGCTGCTGCCACCAGTTTCATCATCATCTGTCACCATGCTGGTCTGCCCTCCCTGCAAATTCACACTGTGCATCATGCCCTCGCAGGAGCCATCCGCCTTCCCAAGCTTCCATTGCAGGGCATCGAACATTCGTTTCTCGTATGTTAATCGAAGGCCCGCCTCCTTTTTCTCCGAACGTGACATGTCCCGGTAGCTCGGCTTGCCAGATTTGCTGGTGTAATCGTGGATCTTTTTTGCTTTATCGAGAAGGCCATAGAACTTCGACTCGCAGTCCTCCATGGTGCGTTTGGGGAATCCTTGCTCCACCATTTTCCCAATAATCCAATCGTACTTCTCCCGTCTCCCCTTGATCTTCTGCCTCCCCTGCCTGCTTTGCTGCGCGCAGTCTTCCTCGAACATCATCCTCCCCAGTCCCATGCTCTCCTTCTCTGTCCAGTCGGGACCCCGAACTCTCGCCTTGCCCTTGTCTTGTCCCCCACGACCTCCCCCCTCCGCCCGTGCAGACCTTTCCACGCGATCCGGCCATGGAATGACGTCATCACACTGCGTAGCCCCTTCGTTGTCGTCGATGCGTACAGTCGCACGTCCTCCACCTTGGGTCCCCACAATGTCAACGGCGGGTTCGGTGAAAGCGTCACCCATGTCGGCGTCGATGATGGGATCTCCTCCATCATAATAGTCACGACAATGGCTTTCCGTCTGGACATCACCAGTCGTGGCAGAGACAGCTGCCCCTGCCAGAGGTGCAGAAGCATGGTATAGTCCGCTGTCGGAAGAGTACATAAACTGCGGTCGAACGTGGGTGCTGTTCACTGGCGCTGGTGTGAAAGATGGCGAACGGACACCACCCCCTCCTCCCCCCGACATGGAGTTCGTTAGCGCTTGTGTGAAAGGTGGGGAATGAACACCCCCCCCACCTTCTCCTGGACATGGAGTTCGCTGGCGCTGGCGCTAGTGCGAAAGATGGCGAATGGACACCACCCCCTCCTCCCCCCGACATGGAGTTCGCCGGCGCTTGTGAGAAAGATGGCGAATGGACACCCGCCCCCCTCTCTCCCGGACATGGAGTTCGCTGGCGCTGGCGCTGGTGCGAAAGATGGCGAATGGACACCCCCCCACCCCTCCCGCCGACATGGAGTATGCAGACAATGCTGGAGGTGTATGTGGCCTATCAACACTGGCCCCCGTACCATGGCCATCATGCACATACCCACCTTCACATGCCATTCCCCTCGCCGGATATGCTAATTGAACGCCAACATTCAATCTTCCCAGTCCTCCTGGTAGCGGTGGTCCAAAACTCTCACCTTCCGCAAGGAGAGAGGTCATGGTGCGAGACTCTTTCCCTGGACTGTAGACAGAAGTGTGCAAGTACTTGAAATTTGGTAAAGGTGGCAAACCGCTTGGGAGGGCCGTAGCGACGCGCGACATGGACGATGATCCTGCTGTGCGTCGGACCACCTACGCCTGGGTTGGATGGCGGGACTTCCTGGAAACCTGTGTCCATGGGAGCCGGTGACGGGGATGGTGATCGCCGTTGCACAGGGTGTCGAGAGTGGTCCATACCTTTAACAAAGTTGTGATCAGACGTTGCTCTTGATGGGATGACGATGCTGAGCTCCACGGAACGGAAATGCAGCGCCTCGTAAGAGCGAAGGATCGGACTGCACAACAACGGCTGTTGGATTCCGAATTCGAACTGCTCTGCCACTTGCTAGAAGAACTACTCTCCAGGCAATGCACGTGGCGAAAACGCGGGCACGTTCGAACTTCTGCCTTAACACTGGATATCAGCAATCAGCGAGCGTTGACAACCTGGCCGCTTCGATTATCATCGTTACGACGTGGTGAAGCATGGTCCAGCCACGTGGCTGGGTGAGACCCGAGCGGGAGATGTTGTACTCATAAGGGGCTCCCAAAACGAGGCCATGTCGGCGGAAATACGAGAGCACCCCTGCCTGCTTCCAGGTAGCCGATGCACACTCCTATCCAGAAGCGCGGTGCTTCAACTCCGATCCACTTCCACAATGGGACGATATGTAAGTGGGTTTCATAATGGAACTCCTGTCCAGATGCGCGGTGCACGACAAAAACATTTCGGGTTGGGTTTGCTAACGGACGGGCGCTGGCATCCCTCGAAAGCAGCACTCGTGCGGGAGGAGCACGTTCGGTGTGCTCTGCCAGCAGTGTCAGGCCCAGGGCCTCTTCTCCTGTTTCCTGTATCAGGTAATTTTCCCCGCTTGGAGAGCCCGGTACCCAGATTTGGGACATCGGCCGGCAGCGGTGGAACCATCCTAGTTTTTCCTCACGTCGCACACCTCTTCGGGCCAGAGGACATTCCAAGACGATGAGGCGGACATCTCAAAAAAGGAACAAAAAAAAAAATCCAGCGCCTTCTTTTTCGGGGAAGGGTACAGGTGTGGTGTCTTTTGGGTTTCGTAAGAAAAGCATCGCCGCGAAATGCGCACCGCATGCCACGTCCCGAGATGTTTCCACTTCCTCGAAAAAAAGCCCCTCCGCAGCTTCGGGAAAGAAGTGGGATCCTGAAAATCCCCTAAAAGTGCCTCGCCTACAAGAGGTGGGATCAGCCCCGAAAAAAATCCAATGCCTTCTTTTTCGGGGAAGGGTAAGGGTGTGGCGTCTTTTGGGTTTCGTAAGAAAAGCATCGCCGCGAAATGCGCCCTGCATGCCACGTCCCGAGATGTTTCCACTCCCTCGAAAAAAGAGGAGCCCCTCCGCAGCTTCGGGAAAGAGGTGGGATCCTGAAAATTCCCTAAAAGTGCCTTGCCTACAAGAGGTGGGATCAGTCCCTAACGGACGCTGGACCCGCTTTCCAGCACGTGCTGCTCCCCAAAAATAGACTGGAGTCATGGAGATGAGGTACCGCAGAGAACCATTTATTTTTAGAATTGAATTAATATCGCCAGATTACGGAATACATACGTATATGACCTTTCCCGGAGAAGGATTGAGTTTGTGAGTGAAGTGAGACCCGTGACATTGTATTCAAGTCTATATACAGGGCTGCTCTTACCACCCCCTACGGTACCCCTTGAAGATGTTAAAAAAAAGAAAAAAGACTTTTTCTAACGATATCCCGCCGCGTTCCCAAGTTGCCGGCTTTTCACTCTGAAATTCTTCAATTTTCTACTCTACCTATGTCCCTCTGTGCATAGGTCTATGCATGATTGACTCTGGTCGTTAAAGCACCAGTCACCACATATCGGCCTGTGCGTAGCAGCATGAGACCCGCACCACTTCGGAGGCCACCGATTTTTTTTTCAATGGCGGGCCTGGCCACGCGGCGCCTCCAAGTTTTGCTGGTGGCGACAAAAACTTTTTGCAAGGCTGGGGGCGTGTACTAGCGGTTTAAATATCGTTTATCTTCTCATTCTCTTCGTGATGACGTCTGTATGAAAGCGCATGAGACTATCTGCTCTTGTTGGATGTATGTGAATAATTTGCCACCATTGGATCTTTACCCCAAGTTTGACCAGATTCCTTGGCCAAAGAGTAAGGGGTCTTGTGCCTGAACTCCTAGTCCTGGGGAAAGAAGAAAATCCTCTTTCTGCTATGGAGTTCTATTTTCTGTTGAAAACTTCCCCAAAGCGGGACTGTGGAGTACGAAACCACTTTTGCATTTGGGGGGCAGTGCCGCAAACTCCACATCCTCACACAAGGACTTTTCCCCCTTCTTTATGGACGCACTTCACAAGAAGGACAGCACGCACTTCACGGGAGGGCCGGCAAAGCAGTCATATGCATCCTCACGGGAGGGCCAGCTATTGGTGGGGAGTAGCACCTGCTGGAAAGCGGGAGCGTCCCAGTATGATACAAAGGGTCTTGCTCCAGCGGCTCCAGTACTCACATGCACAAAAGACAAAAAATATGGTGATGTGTCTTTCCATGTTTTAGCGGATGATTCATTCTCATTTTGCACATTTGGTGAGTGGTGGAGCCAGGCAGAATGATCAAATCATAGTATAATGGTTGTGTTGTCCCTTGGTTGTCTTGAGACATCCAGGACAGTCCTAGGCCTGGCTCCACTACTCACCCAATGTGCAAAATGAGAATGAATCTTCTGCTAGAACATGAAAAGATACACCGCCATTATCGCGCCATATTATTTGTCTTTTGCACACGTGGCGAGTAGTGGAGTGAGGCCCCTAGTTTGAGTATGGGCCTCGCCACACTACTGTAGAAACAAAAAAATATTCAATGCATCTTCCCCGGAAAGCGGTAAGATGCACACGTCGCTATTTTCGTTTAGACAGTGGTGTGGCAAGGGCCTGTGCCTTTCTTATCAATCCGAGACTGTTTTTCCTTCCCTTCCCTTTCCTCCGTCTATAGGCAGGACTGCAGACCCGTGACCTGCGGTCAAGTCCCACTTATGCGGATTGCTCGTTTCTGGCCATTGATCTTTTTTAATTCTTTTCCTTTTTTTTTGGGGGGGGGACAAATGCTTCAATCTATTTGTGGTGAGCAGCACGTGCTGGAAACCGGGTCCAGCGTCTCATATGGACTCTTACAAAATATGTAAGGAGCTGGAACCATTGCCCAGCTTTGGCTAAGAATTAACTGAGAGTATTCATGGGAATTTAGAAAACCGGCCATCTCTGCTTAACTTCTTCAACCTCGACCGCCCCTGCAGTTTCGCCAAGTGGTTCATCCACGACTCAGCCCTGATCTACTGAGATTCGCGCAACTATTAAACCACCAGTACTTGGCCCAGCTATCAGCCGCGGGAAAAAATAGAGTAGAAACGTTTCTAGTCGGATGAATTTGGGCGCTCCTGTAGTAGCCCGTACATTTCCTAAAATCATGGCGCGTTAACGGGCACGACTCTAGGAAGTACAAGTGGTTTAAGCCGGCAAGCTAGGCATGCAGCAGTGGAAGTGACGATCTTGACGGATCGTGGTTCAGCGGGGATCCTGGTAGAAGCATCGGCGTTTTTGTGTTTCTCTCGGCCAGGGCAAAATAACGTGACAGTGATTGTCGTGTTCAGCGGCGATCTCCGCAACATTGGCATTCAGTGGCACAACGACGTGATAGGGAGCCTCTACGAGTGGGGGCGTGAACTGGTGACAGATTTGTGGGAGCGACTAGCCAGGCCAGGCAATCAGGTGGTGGGTACGGAGTGTATCGACATGCTGCAATGTGACGCCCAAACCTCACGCCTGGCGCGACTTCCTGATCGGAGTGGGGTTGGGCCTGGAAGTGCGCAAGAGGGGGTGTGCCAGGGATTTTAGGAAAGTGGAATTGGAGTCCCAGGTCGGAACTAAGATCTCCCGTGACAAGCCTCAGGGATACGGATTCAAAACGGGTAAGCGCGGATCAACAATGGGCCTTATGCCTCGGAGAGCAGGGCTGCCGCCTCCGTTGGTTCCGCCGCCTGGGTTGGTCGCGTATGAGGTGCACCACTGGGACGTTGTGGCTATCGTGCTGGCTGATCACCTGTCGACGCCGTACGTCGCAGGTCTCGGAATCCGACGCGGCCGGCCTCACCCGGAGGTTGTGCGCCCGTCGTTCCTCGTCCGAGCGAGTTCGCCGGATGAAGCCGGAGGATCGGTACTCTTGGTCCCGCAAACACTCTGATCACGGGGGTTGGGGCCAATAGGTTGCGACTGCGCGCCAAGGGACAATGGTGAGGGAGTGATAAGGTAGAATATGGTGATATGGAGGGAATTCGGTTTCCAAGATAATGATTCCGGATTCCCCGACGACGTGACACGTGTATGGGCTTGGGCAGCTGGGTAGGTGGGGAGTGCGTTCCAAGGCCCGATCGATATCCCACTCTCAAACGCGTTCGTTCCCTGTCAAGTAGGGGAATTCCAGAGGCTTTGCCCTTGATCGTGCAGAAAGACACGAGTGTTCCCAATACTCGAGAAATTCCTGATCCCTCAAGCACTCGCGATCAGTGATACGAAAGGGAATTTCGACATTCATCTTGTAAGTCGGGGTGGGAAGCCAGTCATGCAAGAAGTCGGGTTGGGTACAGGTTTTGCGAATGCACGTGTAAGCAATGGTCTTCCCCGGTCGGGTCTACATGTGCATGCACAGGACCTGTCCTCTGGGTCAGATGGGTGAAGGCCAATGGCTCACGAGACGAACAATCCTAGACAGACATCTAATCATCTAGCATGCTTTATCTAATTCACACGCAAACAGAATCACACCAAGCATTTGTTCACCCAGCTTCACGCATACATATACACACCATGAGAAGGAATCGAGGATTCTTATGCAACAATTCTTCTGCCAACAGCCCGGGGATCACACAAGATTCGACCGTAGGTGACCAACCAATCAGATTTACCCATTCAACAAGAAAGAGAAGGGGAGTGGAGGAAGACAACCATACATCACTGTCCGAGGAGAACAAATGAAAAATCTGAGATGCCGATCCAAAAATGAAAAGAGCGACTTGCGCCGCATAAAAAAGAAATCGTTGAGAAGAATAGAAGAAGAAGCCCACCACACGTCTTCCGTCTCTCTCTCTCTCTCTCTCTCTCTCTCTCTCTCTCTCTCTCTCTCTCTCTCTCTCTCTCTCTCTCTCTTTCTCTCTCTCTACAACCTCCTGATGCAGGCAGTCTGTCGTCTCGCATCCACACAGAGTTGTCACCCCGCTTAGCCCGAGCATGCAAGCCAGATTCGGCCATGCGCCACAGTCCGTCGCGGCCCCACGTCAACCCCGCATACTCAGCACCAACTTGTCGGATCGCCCAACTCTCTACTCACCTTCCAAAGCTTGTACGTTAACCGAT